TGCCATACCTATAACCCAACTAGGGAGTTATCTATTTAAACCCTCTGCGCCATATGTGGGTCGACTATTATTATAACACATATACAAATTATTACAATCAACTCTACAATATATCATATGTTTTTATCAAATGCCTACTCAAATTTGCGATTAAATTAAACAAATCCTATACGCAAATTACTTTTTCAAACCATAATAATTCTATAATCCAATACATTTAAACAATTATTCTTTAAATTATTTTAGTTAATGTCTTAGCATATTAATTTCATACAAGTTATATAAACAATATAAATTAAACTCCCTTAATTAATATGTCCTTGAACCTTGTTTATTACTAAATTTAGATGTCGAAGTCTAAATTTATGTTATTTTGGGCAATCAAATTTGATAAATTAGTAACTGACCTAAAAGAACAATGTTACGTTAAAAAACTTTACGTTCGAGTATAAAATTTCTTATCCGCAGTAAAAAAATATCTCTTCTCTAAATAGTAAGCAATATGAAGTGGATTTTTGTAGTAAAATAACTTGAAATTTAAATATCAACGTAAAAAAAGTTTCAACGTAACTTTGTTACAAATGTGATTAAGAATATATTTATGTTAAAATAATTGAAAAAGATAAAGCAGTTCATTCTACGCATCTAAAAATATGAGAGCAATTCGTTATTATTGTAATATATAAAAGGTGATTTATAATCAGATCACTATTCCAATCATTAAATTCAAAAAAATCTTCAATAATTAATTTTTCTATTATACCGCATATAGTTTTGTCAAACATAGTTGACCGAATACCCCAACGAAGCATGGAGATTTTCATAGTGGTAATATATTACTAAATCAATATATTTGATGGAGGTATAGTATCATATATTGTAGATCTCGGATTATCTAGAAATAAGGACGACTCTGATGAGTTAGATAGTATTTACTGAGTTTTACCTTATGTTGCGCCAGAAGTGTTAAATAAACAGCCATATACAATGGCAGCTGATATTTATAGTTTTGGTATTATTATGACTGAGATGTCTACGGAAGACCTCCTTATTATGGTATTGAGTATGATGAAGCGTTGGCTATTGGAATATGTAATGGGCTATATCTAGAATTTGCCAAGGCACTTCAGAGTTCTATATCCAATTAGCAAATCAATGTATGGATGCTAATCCTTCTAATAGACCAACTGCATCTCACATCTGGAATGAATTATTAAGATGGTATAATATATGTCGTAATGCTACAAATGATAAAGATGAATTAGCAATATTAAAGGCATTCCAGTCCGCAGATGCATCAACAGAATCGCAAATTTGTTCTAAAGATAAACTTTAAACTGCTTAACTTTGAAGGCAATAATTACGCTTATTATATCTGGTTTTAGTAATTCGATAACAAAAGAAATTTTAATTATGTTTTAATTTTTGTAGATTCTAAAAAATGTGTAATTCCTGACATCTAGTATAATTTTATTTCATGTTTGCATAACATGAATATAAATTTATTTATTAAATGCTTTATAGCAAATGTTAAAGCATTATAAATAATAATTGAATTTTATTTAAATTATTTACGTATTGCCTAATAACCTTGCAAATTATATTTCAAAATATTGACATTTTAAAGTCTAACTTCAAATTTATTGAAAGGTAGAGCTATAGCTAGTGATTTCAATTAAATTTATGGTTGCGATATCTTAAAGAAATAAGATTTGCTTAAAAATTATATAGTTTTTTTGCTTTTATAATGATAAAATTCCAAATAAGACCTCATTCGTTATTATAATATATATGTCGTGCCTGAAGTTAGCACCTGCCTAAAACAGCTAGCTAATGCGTGCAGGATGATCCAATTTCAGGCATCTGAAGTTCCAACTTTAGTCGGATGCCAACTTCAGACACGACACCCCATTAACACTTGTAAACTGTATATACAAATAATGTAAAATTAAATTGATCTAAACAGCCAATCATATGAAAGTCTTTCTATGAAGTTACCGTATGTTACTGATTAGAAGTAACCTCTAATAAAAGCAACCCCGGATGTTGGAGCCAAAAATTTGACTAAAGTTGTTGTGTTCTACTAATAACATTAGACTTGAATAGAAGCAACCACTTCACTTTGGCTCAAAAAATTATCATTTTGTTTTGCAACATTTTGGTTACATCTATTCAGCAACATACGGTAGGTGAGTTTACTAATTGACGTATTTGAAATATACTATTTATGTTCATGAACGCTTCACATAATTCAATTTCACGAATATTTATATTGTACTATATTTTAAGTTCATGTTAATCTAGCTAGATGAATATATATAAATAATGCTTTTTGATCGATGTAATTAAATAAGTTATTCATATTTGCAAATATTTACAGTTGCACCATACCTTAATTTTATTTTTAATCGTATTTATACATGTTTTAAATACAAGATAAAATAAAATAAAGTATGAAAAAATAATGTAAAAATAGATAAAAATAATAAACAAAAGATAAAAAAAATATAGAAAAAAGTAATATATAAAATCAAAAATAATTACAAATAACTTTGTTCATAAATCAAATCGTTATAGACCCGAAAAATCAACGAAATTCAAATTTATTCGGATATTCATTCAATTTTTTGACCGATATCCGGATGTTGAAAAATTAAACAAATCAATATCCGGATTTTTATTTTTTTTTGCTCGGATCAGACCTCTAGGCGTGCAATAAAATTTAAATCACTTAAGTGCTGTGTAAACAACGTGAGATATGCTAGTATCAAAATAAATCAGTTTAAAAATTAGAAAGTTTTAAATTCTGACTATTCGACTTATTAAAGATAAGCGATTTTCCCAACGATAATCAACAAAAAAGCTAATCACAATAACATGCTTCAACATCACAATCTTGTCTACATTGTTGACAATTTTGGCAATTTTCTTGGCAGCTTTCTCCTCCACAAGGTTCTTCACCATGTGGATACACTATGTAATAAAAATTAACGTATTGAAATGATTTTGATATATGCACAAACATAAAAGACGATAAGATCGCTTACATGCATATGGCTCGTGATACTTCTTATTCCAAGCTTGGGCTGTGGCTTCAAAATTAATCAATAACAGCTCCTTGGGTGACGTATCATCATGATTAATGATTCGACCGATGTGCTTTTTAGTAAATGAACGATAAAATGACGCATGGAGCTGATGAGTGTGCCAACAAAGGTCGATATCAAACGTAGGTACAAGAAAAATATTTGACTTCTCCTTTATCAATGATAAGAATTTTAGATAACGTGTTATAGAGTTTTCTTGAACTTCTAAACGATCAATCCACTTATTTTTAACTATCTTTTCAGTAAATCTACGCTGCCGATGCACAGCACTAACAAGATCGATTGAGAACGGCAATGGAATTCCACTATAGGCAGATATAACACGCTGAATAATTTCTTCCTTCACATTTTTAATCTGTAAATTGAGTTGTTCAGTTATGTGCACCCATTCATATCTATCACAATTTGTTAATACATCAATGATATTAGCAGTGAATAATAATTGAGATCTTCTAATCGAGAGCTCTTCCGAATATGAGCCATCTTTACGATCGATTAGAGTGCCACTTTAAATAAAAACAAATAATATTAATTACAAAATTATAAAATTTTAAACAATATAATAATCAAAAATATAACAAATTGGTTTACCCAATCAGTTTGGATTTATCCTTATTCCAGGCACTAATATCATCAATAAATCGTTTGGCGCTTAGGGTTTCAATAGAATGTTGAGCGTAACATATTGGGCAATTTTCATTTGCGTCAGAAGTTTGCATTAATTTTACGTATTTCTCCCTATATTCAATCTTAAAATTAGCAAATGAAAAGTGGTGATCGGAAATTAAACGTTTCCTCACCACTGCATATGTATGTTTGATTTACACCAAGGGCAAGTTATCTTAAAATCAGAACTGTCATTTGGATTAAGAACCCATGGCTGTTTAGTCTTTTCCGTCCAAATACGTTCAGATGCAGGATCAATATGACTACCATTGCTTTCCCAAATTTCGTACTTAATAAGAGAATAGAAATTATTTAATAGTTCAATAAAATTAACAGGAACTGCAAAAAAAAAATACTTGCTAATTTTTTTAAAGGAAAGTCCGGAAACTTTTGATAAGGATCATAAATTCTACACAAGTCTTCATAGTATCTCAATGGTGAAAGTAAATGAGAGTGCCAAATATAGCAAACATCTAACTTTAGAAGAGCTTATTAGTCTAGAAATAAACAATATCGCAGAAATTTCATGTCGTTCATTTACCTAGGGGCGGAATTGGCACAACTTCTTGGTCAAAGTTTTGAGTACGCAGTAAATCCAGCCAAAGTACATAACGTTCCTGTGCACGTAATAAATATCTCGCATCAAAACATTTATCCGATTGCTCCAACATTTTGAATTTTCTCAAGAGCGTCAAATGCGCATGTAACATTGCTGGATTCACCACTCCATATGTGTCACCGAATTGGATTTTATAAGATAGTTTATCTGGCATTTTTTTTCGTACAAAAAATTGAGCAGCCAAAAAAATGCTAGATAAGTACTGTATTTATATTTGAGTGCTGCAAAGTGAAAACCTGTAATTGTGAGCTTTCCGAAATCAATTTTATAGAAACGGACCATTAAATAGAATTTAATAGAATTTATTATAATCCATCAGTAATCTGATCACTGTTTCTGCAAAAATCAAAATTACAGGTTTTCGCTTTGCGGCACCCATTCAAATATACAGTAGGAG